GGTCAAATGTGGAAAATTTAATTGATAAACAAAAGCTACCTTGATTATCATGTTCTAGGTCATCCCTACGATAGCTCCAAATATCTTCTATGGGAACTACCGTTGAGTGTTCTTCAATGAAGCTCTGAAAATTAGGGTATCAAGCATTTTTTAATACTAGCTAGCTGATCATGTATTTGATATGAATATGCTCGAAATTTAACTAATTAGTTTAAATGTGTATATTATGGGATAAAATATTTTGCAAAAAAATACAGTACAAGATAACTGGTGAACACACTACCTTTTCTAGTTCCTTGCTTGAAACTCCTACCCATCTCAAGTTCTCAACAAGTCTTTCTTCCTTAAACCTCCCATCATGTTCTTGCATATCCACAGCCTTCATGTTTGCCTCCACCAATGTTCCTGAGATTTTTTCTCCAGAATAGTTAAAGTCTCCATGGAAGATTCCAGAAGCAGAAGCAACTCCCCACGAGTCTAGACTGTTCCGTGGCTCGTTGGAGGCTTGAGCCAATGCTATTATCTTATTCAGCATCTCATCTGTATCATTAGCTACATTGTTCCCCATATATTCTCCGTGTGTGAGATCTTCTAGGTTAAGTGGTGGCGCCGGTGGCAACATACGATTCTGCAGTCTTGCACACTCTAACGCTATCTCAACCTGTTGTGTGTGGAGAATTTAATGAATAATTAGATATTCGTTTGAAACAAAAATTTAGTTTTCACCATGTTAGATTTCACTAAATTCGTTTGAAATAGTTTGAACAAAGATATGCTACCTTCGAGGGATATGAAATTGTTCCGTATTGAGAACAAAACTGTGACTGGACTGGGAAGTTGAAGGACGTATCATGCGTCATAAACTGAGTCCATTTGTTCTCTATCGTTTCCATATCCGACGAATAAATGTTACCGGGTTGAGTTAAGCATGTATCGGGTGAGGCTGGATAACCCGAGTTTTCTAGGTTTTCATACATTCCATCGGAGTACAAACAAGTACTAGAAGTAGATTGTTCGCTGCTTGTCCTTGCTTTGTTCTTCTTTCTCCCATGTTGTTGTTGTTCTTCTAACTTGTTGGCTAGTGCACTCTTCTTGAATACTCGACAAAGTGCATACGCATCCTGAAATGTTTATACTTTTGGTTAAAATTGAATTAAAAAGTTAAGAAATGTTATTATCTTTAGTAAGTGTAGTTTACCTGTATGCCGGATTTAGAGTCGCACTCTTCCTCTTCAAGACGGTACTCATGCATGACCCAGTCGGTGCGAGAGCCATGAGGAGCTCTTCCTCGGTAATAAACTAACGTTTTCTTTGTTCCGACAGTTCGCGAATGTGAATTCACTTTACGATCTTTCCCTGTGGCTTTCCAGTAACCGGCTTTCGTTGCCCTGTTTGTTCTTGATCCGTTAGGATATTTCCGGTCTCGAGGACTGAAAAAGAACCATTCTAGGTCTTTACTTGGAAGCAACGACTTCCCTGCAGTTTTAGCAAACCATGATTCATATAATTAAGAAGGAATCGTAATTAGGTTTCTCCAACAATAAATTTGTACACTTAAGAAGTTTTTTTATATAAAGTTGTACACTTAAGAAGTTAAGATACTATAACATGAGAATCCAAAAGACTAAACAAAAGACAAATATAGAGAACA